ACAGGCAGACAGACAGACAGACAGATAGCCTAGATAGATAATATGTTATATAAGACAGATAGATGATCGATTGATAATTGATAGATAATAGACTACATAGATAATATATAATAGATTAGATAGATAGATAGATAGAGAGATAGATAATAGATTAGATAGGCAGACATGATAACTTAGATAATAGATTAGATAGATAGATAGCTTAGATAAATAGATAATAGATGATAGATGATAGATTAGATAGATAGATAGCTGACAGCTTAGATAAGTAGCTAGATAAATAGATAGATAGATAGATAGATAGATAGATAGATAGATAGATAGCTTAGATAAATAGATAATAGATTAGATTGACAGATAGATAGATAGATAGATAGATAGATAATAGATTAGACAGACAGATGATAGCTTAGATAATAGATTAGATAGATAGCTTAGATAAATAGATAATAGATTAGATAGATAGCTGACAGCTTAGATTAGATAGATAAATAGATAGATAGATAGATAGATAGATAGATAGATAGATAGATAGATAGATAGATGATAGCTTAGATAAATAGATAATAGATTAGATTGACAGACAGACAGACAGACAGACAGACAGACAGACAGACAGACAGACATAATCAGTCCTGCAGGAAATATTTCAGCGAGGCTGGAAGCGCTCCTAAGGAACTCTGAGGAAATGCCTTCGCAGCTCTTTTTATTGCTGTCATTCATCGCGCATTTCAGAGGAAGCGGAGCAGGCGAGGCCTCCGCCAAACTGGAAGGTCGCCCGCCTGCGCTTCAACCCCGGACACGGCCAAGTGGATCCTCCTGCCAACACGGGCGCCACCTGCCTCCCCCCACCCACGTCTCCAGATAGCAGCGCCTTGGATGCTAGACCAACGTTTCTGAACCTTCCAGTTGGGTGGACTTCAATTCCCAGAATTCCCCAGCCAGCAACATGCTGGCTGGGGAATTCTGGGAGTTGAGGTCCACCCACTGACCAACTTCTGGGAGTTGAAACCCTTCCACTGATCAACTTGTAAGTTAGAATAGGGAGAAATTTCCTGCGTTTCTAAACCGTAAGTCCTTACGTTGTAGAGACCTCCCTGCAAACTCTTTAAAGCAACTTCAAAGAGAACCAATCAGAAATTAGCTCGCCTGATTTTGGCTCAGAGCGTTGTGTCAGAGGTACCGTGTATCGTGGGAACCCATGGACTTGCATGGATTGACCAAATAAGCCTATTGTGGACAGGGCTAGCAGATGTACTCTGCAAAAAAAAAAGCCGGATTTTCATAACCCAGTAAATTCTTTTGAGGCTAACAGAGCCTTGTCGGTGCTATCAGGCTCTTAATCCAGTTTTCTCGTTTGAATCCAGTTCATCCCAAAACTGATCTTTTCAAAACTAGATGGGGCACTTTCTCCTTGGAGAATAAAGGCCGCCGCGTTATAGTCCCTGATTTGGGATCAAATTCCCCGGATCCCTGTGGCATTTATTTCTGAATAACTGACCCACTGGACGTCTCCACTACACTTAAAGTATAAAAATCACCAATGATGTAAAAGGAAAAGGCTACTTCCAGAAATAAAACCAGATTCGCACTTGCAGTTTAGCTGCCAGGGAAATTAAGGGGAATTCCCCAATTAGCGGGGCGTCATAAATCTCATCGAGTTCAATGAGTTTTAGTCCCCATCAGCGGGCGCCGAAGACAGCCGCCATCTGATAGAGCTACAGCCCGAGTCCAAGCGTGATTTACTCGGGGGTAAATTACACCCTTTCCGAAGCTGCTGCCGTACGACGCTATTTATCCAGAAACGAGTCCCATTCAATTCAATGGGGATGACACCTTGGGAAATATATGCGTAAAGGAAACTTCGCCAGAAGTTCGGACCTGGGGAGGTTACAACTGCTGGCTGGGCTCACAAATGCAATGGTTTTAGCCCGTGTAAGCAAGCCGTGCTTTTAAGAGTAAATTTGTGGGGTTCCGTAGCTCGCGGAGCAACGCTCCAACCTCCGAGTCCGTTACCATCAGGAGCCACAATTCTATGCGCGTTTGCTTTTTCCGATGTCACTTGTGAAATGCGTGGATCCGCTCAGTTATGCCCAGGTTAAAAGCAGCGACACGACACGTATACAGGCAAGGGTGGGGTGCAGATATAGGAGTCCTGGCCGAGTCTTCAGATGAACTGCTCTATCCCACACATATACTACCGCGAATTTGCTTGGGGTCCATTGCCTGGATCCATTGCAGCACCCTTCAGAGCAGGGGTCCCCAACCTTGGCGACTTGAAGACTTGCGGACTTCAACTCCCAGCTTTGCTGGCTGAGGAATTCTGGGCTTTGAAGTCCGCAAGTCTTCAAGTCGCCAAGGTTGGGGACCCCTGCCCTACAGGCATCTAGGCCAGGGGTTCTCAACCTTGGCAACTTTAAGACTTGTGGACTTCAACTCCCAGAATTCCTCAGCCAGCTTTGCTGGCTGAGGAATTCTGGGAGTTGAAGTCCACAAGTTTTAAAGTTGCCAAGGTTGAGAACCCCTGATCTAGGCACAAGACTGAGCGAACACGGCGGAAAACTGCTACAGTATTAGCAGCCTCTTCTCAGCCACTAGATGGCAGTAAAGAGAACCGGAAAACTCTTCCGAGGCTGCCATATAACCGCGGTGCAGTTATCGCAGCTCGTTTTGACAAAGCAGGCCGTTTCTCCGTGTGTGTGTGTGTGTGTGCTGCTGCTGCTTCGCACGTCCCTTGAACCGAGGACGGGTCTTGCGATCTGGGCCCCATCGGAGCGGCTTGCTCTGAGGTCCCAAGAACTAGGCTTGTTGGATTAAACTGCCCTTCTCCCCAAAAGTCTTTTAATCGCAGTTGCTTTTTCAGACATACTTTTTTTTTTAAAAAAGGAAGGGATAATAGGCGTTTTTGAGACAGACGGGACCAGAAAACCCTAGCCGAGGTGGTGACCCTGCCTCGCGAAGCAATTTTGGTTAGCTTGCAGAAAGATCCCAGTTTACAATTCAGCCAATCACCTGTGAATCCAACTAGAGCTGGTGGACAACTTTGGCATGCCTGCCCTTCGCTGCTGGTGCGAAATGGGGGGAAATTTTGAACCCAGGACTGATTACAGAGTAAAGGGAAAGAGGAGGAAGAGGAGGAGGAGACAACGAGGACTATGGAGTGAGTTTGGGTGTTTTCTTGCAGATGTTTTATGATCCAACTAGGTAACATTACCAGCGCTAGAAGGGAATGGAGAGATGGAGGAGGAGGAGGAGGAGGTGAGGAAGAAGGGGGGGGGAAAGGAGGAGGAGGAGGAGGCAAAAAAGGATTGTGGGGTCCTTGGTGCTCTTGTTTTCTTGCATACATTTTATTACCCACCTATGTAATTTCATCAGTGCTGTAGTAGTGTACCTTAATCACATCCCTAGCTCTGATGACATTACCCATTTTGGGCACCCAGGACCCCTAACAGAAATATATTTCTACTCAGGCTGCCTAAAATACGATAGGATAGAAGAGGGGGAAGGGAGGAAGAAGAAGGAAGGAAGGAAGGAAGGAAGGAAGGAAGGAAGGAAGGAAGGAAGGAAGGAAGGAAGGAACTCTTCTTCCTTATAAGACGGGCCATTCGTGTTTTTTTTTTTTTTTTAGATTTATCCCAAGAATTTATCCCTAAAAAGGGCACTGCGCTCACACCTGCTGGCAACGTTTCAGGGCTATCTAAATCCCAAGGCGCCCGGGCTGGCTTCCCTTTGCAATGTACAGACAAAAACCAGAGAGCAGATTCTGCATCGAAAGCCCACGCTGGATGACTATTTCAGGTGAAAATTTGAGATTCCCAGCCTGCTCCAGTCCGTAGAATTCACCACCGCAGCCGAACCGCTTCCGTTGCAAAGGATTAAGTACCTGCACTTTTCATTTGCTACGGTCGCACCCTCAACCAGATGTTCAGGCTGGGCGGGGCACTTTCGTCCACCTGGCGAGTCCTTCCCAGATGGGGTTGTTCGACGGGCGTTGCGGGTAGCGCCGCAGGATGTAAGCCGTTCGGAGTAAAGCCGCCTTTTGCAATTGACGGCTGCCGTCGTCGTTAACGGACGGGCTCTGCTTTTGTCTCGCAGGCGTCCCGGTTAGGGAGACTCGGATATTGGCCCGTCCCGATGTCAACGCAGGTGCTGCTAATCAGTTCGCTCGTCGATCTGGCCAGGATTTCACTCAGTCGCCCGTCTGCGCGGCTGAAATGCGGTGGCTGCCGGCAGGCTGCAAACGGAGGCAGCCTCCGCCGCGCAAGGCTAGGATCGTCCCCGAAGATTAAAAGCCCCGCTGCTCCGTTGGTGTCGTTCGTGCCCCGTTTTTCTGGGGGGGGGGGATCCTGAATCCGGTTGCTCTCCGAGTAGCGCAGCGGAAGCCCTGCGCTCCTAAACGGCCAAAAGGCTAGCGGAGGTTTCCCCATCCACAGGCCGGTATCCCGGGTCTCATCCCGCGCGCCCCTCCTCGCCCTCGCAAGGCAAGCGATCCTCTGCTTTGGCTGGATGGCAAGCCCAGTGAACGGGGGGGGGAGGTCTGTCTCCAACCACCTGCTTTGGTGCAAGCCTAAACTTGGGGGGGGGAAGCGCCCCCATCCGGAGCGCTTTCAAAGGCGCAAATCCACCTGGTCTGACTAGCTTCCCGTCTGATGCCTTTTAGGATCGCTTGGTCGGAAGTCTCCAACGTCCGTTCGGTAGCCGCCTCGCTCCTCGGGCGCAGACGGGGGTGGATCTGAGCTAACCCGGCTTGTTTTGCCCTTCAGACGGTTGGGAAAGCTGAGCTGTTGGCCGTGGACGCGCCTCCACGCGGTCCAAGTTGGAGGACTCGTGTAGGGAGAATCCAGGAGAAGCGGGAATCTTGCAGCGGCAGGCAACCATCCACTTCCGGCAGGATCGCCCAGGAATCGACCGATCTTCCCAATAGAACGTGTCTCCAGGAGCTTTCCAGGGATCTATTAGGAGCAGGAGGAGGACTTCTTTAAGAAAAAGCACCTCTGGGACAATCAGGATCTAGAAGACTGAGAATCTCCATAGAGATAAATCATTTCCCGCCTCCCCACCTTTTCTAAATAAAATCCTGGGCCACACGCGAGTGCTTTGCAAGAAAATAAATTCATTTATTGTCAAAGCATCCAACATACCCAGATAAACTATAAAGTTTTTTTTTTCAAGAAAAAAAAAGAAGGTAGGGAAGGGCGAGGAAGGAAAAGAAACACGTAGCTATTCAGACTTCATTTCACTGGCACAAAATTACACTTTGTACTGTATTCAAAGAAGATCCCTATTTACAGAACTTAAGACATTTTGCACCAAAGTCCTTAAATCTTTTTCCATTGTGAAACATGCATTTCCCCATCGGAAACATAAAATGAATTCAAGTCTTTCTGGATTTTATTACTATTATTATTTTTTTTTGCAGAGGAACAGGAAAAAGAAACTTATCCAGTAATGCAGAAAAGCTTTGCATCCATTCTCATTTTTTTTTAAATTTTCCTTTATATCTAAAATAAATTTTTACCCTTACATATAATTATTACAGCTAAACCACAAGTGCTTAATAATTTAAGTAGAAACGTATGACAAATGCATCAATATGTTGCAATATATGACATTTTAAAAATGTACTTTTAAAAGTTATTTACTTTTTTGGAAAGTGAAAATGCGTGCATTTGAAACAAAAGGGAGTGGACCACCCACCCATCGCCTCTCTCTATTATTATTATTATTATTATTATTGTCATCATCATCATCATCATCATCATCATCATCATCATCAAAGTAAACATATACACAGGCATAAAAATTTCAACAGTGGTTTTGGGTGCTCTGCTTTTGTGGCCATCCACAATGCCCAAAATACATTTAAAAGCTTTCAAAAAGAATGGCTGCAATTGGAAATGGACGTGAAGCCTGAGGCTACATTTGTTTACTTTGAAGAAAGCCCAATTTAGCCCAATGCAATTGTCCTCAAAGATGTACAGTACAAGATTTCATTTCAAAACCTAGTGGGGTTCCTGTGAAAGCATAAATGCAGACTGCAGAAGTATTTATAGCTACAAAAAGCTGCTTCGTGTTGTGCTGTGTTTCAGCAAGAACTGCCAGTTGTTGAAAACAGTTACTTATGGATTACTCACAAGTAAGTGGGTTTTAGATCTAACTCTACTAACCTTGTTTTTTTCACTTATAGGGGAAAACCTTCAAAGCCTGGTTCATAATCTATTTCTATCTATTAACTCCCTTTCCTTATTTACCATTGGTTCAATTGAATTAAGGAGAATAGTACCCCTTCTTTGCATCAAGAGAAATATGCTTTTAGATTTCCATAGTTTTATATGCATATGCACACCAAAAAAAATCACTGGCCCAAATATGTATAGGTCTGGTTTGGTAATTTCCCATGATTTCCATTCCACTGGAGCAGTGCATCTAATGAACAATGCCATTTTTGTAACTATTCCATGAGATTAGGGAGGCCAGAATGACATCTGAAAGGGACTTTGAAAGATTTCCCACTCAATGCATTTTTTTAATAGCCAACAAGGCCAATAAATGTAGCTGCAGGAGAGACCCAGACACATAGTACAGTTCCAGAATCTGTCCATCTTATTACAGAGAGAGGAAACTATAGACTAGATTTGTTCCATTGTAATCATGGTTTCTTGAAGCCATATGAGTGAATTCATGCAATGTCATAAACTACCATGGCTGAGTTTACATAAACATGTAAACATACAATAAACCACTAACCAGCCACATTTCAACTTAGCGCAAAGCAGAACTCTCATCTCAGACAAGGCATTGTTTCTGTAGCACAAGAAGCCAACATTGTTTGTAGATTCCTGTGTTTTATGAACCACCCCTAGTAACTTGCATACCGTGTTTTAGTGAGGTGCTAACTTCCGCCAATTGCAATTTATTAAGTAAATCAGGGGTTTTCAAACTTGGCCCTTTTATGACTTGTGGACTGCAACTCCCAGAATTCCTCAGCCAGCAACGCTGAGGAGTTGCAGTCCACAAGTCATAAAAGGGCCAAGTTTGAAGACCCCTGAACTAAATCATAAACAAGCCAGCATAAACTTGTTGCACAAGCACAGCTAAGATTTCATTGGGTCCTCTTGCTATTGGTGTATGGCCTGCGACCATCCATTCATTCTTTAGTGATGGGTACTCCAAAATGCAATTTAGAAAAAGTGACAGGTCAGGATTTTTTTTGTTCTCCTCCTAATCATCCATTAGCCCAGATTGAAAAGACTGACAGGAATATTCCCAAAATCAAAGACTTTTGCAACTGCTAACATTTCAAGGTTTTGTTTCCTATTCCAGAAAGGACCATAACACTTCAGGCCATCTCAGAATTAAAATCCACCACCTTCTTTTTTGCTGACCTTGCATCATTTTCTTCCCTTACTATAAAACTGCTTCGTATTTTTTACACGCCTGGGAGCATGCACCCCTCCCACAAGGCCCTGCCAGGGTGTGCATTTCTTTGCACCTGCTCTACACACTGTCCTTCCCTCCTCCAACTCTTTGGGCACATTTACACCACACAGTTCAATCCTCCGTCCGCCTCCTCCGGAAATGCACCGTCCTTGATGCCTTGCAAAAGCAACATCTCTTTGGGCACCTTTACACCACACAGTTCAATCCTCCGTCCGCCTCCTCCGGAAATGCACCGTCCTTGACGCCTTGCAAAAGCACCGCCCCGCCTCACCCCCGGCCGCTTAACGTCGCCAAGGCCCGCAATGCTTGGAAGAAGACCGAAGGAAGCCGAGGGCCGGCGCGGGGGGGGGGGTAGGCGTGTGGAAAAGCCCGGGTGCAAAAGCGCAGCCGCGCCCGGGCCCGGCTTCAGTTGTGCGAGGTCATGTGCCGCGAGAGGTGGTGGCGCTCGCGGAAGGACTCGTTGCAAATGGGACACTTGAGCTTCTCCTCGCGCCGCCGCTTCACCAGCGGCTCGAGCGCGTACTCCTTCTTGTGGTGGGAGCGCATGTGGTAGACGAGGTCGGAGGTCATGCGGAAGGAGGCGTTGCACTTGGCGCACCAGTTCTGCGCCGGCAGGCAGAGCGAGGTGAAGGAGGGCGGCAGCAGCGTCAGCGCCGAGGGCAGCTGCAGCTGGAGAGGCGCCGCCGCCGCCGCCGCCGCCACGGCCGCCGCCGAGCTCTTGGGCCAGAAGGTGGTGGCGTAGAGGAAGGGGCTCTGCTTGGCCAGGCCGCCGCCGCCCCCTCCGCCGCCCCCTGACCCGGCCCCGCCGCCGCCTCCTCCTCCTCCTTCGCCGCCCGCGCCCGCCCCGTTGCCGAGCTCTCCGGGCGCGCCGGCCAGTTTGAGCGGCTCCGAGGCGTAAAGGCGCGCGGCTCCCTCGGCGCCCGCGTGGCAGCCGCCTTCGGCCAGCGCGCTCAGCTTCCCGCCCAGCACCAGCTGCGCCGCGTGCGCCGAGAAGGTAGAGCGCGCCGGCTGCGAGAAGGCGCTCTTGCGCTCCTCGGGGCTGCCCGCCGAGCCGGAAGGCGGCGGCGGCTGCGAGGAGGAGGAGGAGGGCACGGTGGAGAAGGCGCTGGCCCCGGAGCGCGCGCCCAGCAGCGAGGGCAGCGGCGGCTTCTCCGCGGAGGAGGCGGAGGCGGCGCCTGCTGGGGAGCCGCGCTCTTTCTCCTCCTCGCCGCCGCCTCCTCCGCCGTCCCCGCCGCGGGAGGCTTTCTTCACCTCCACGAAGGCGCTTCGCTTGGCCTCGCCGGTGTCCGGGCTGGGCGGGCCGTAGAGGCGGCTGGCGTCGTCCAAGCCGAAGTAGCTCCCGGCCGGCCGGTAGTGCTGCTGCGGGGTGCAGACCAGCTCCTCCTTGGGCGACGAAGGGATCGGCCTCTCCAGGCGCCCCCTGCCGCCCGGCGGGCCTCGCTCCTCGGCCAGCGTGTCTCCGCCGGAGTATTTCCGCTTCGCCTTGCCTGCGGGGCTGGCGCGGCCGTCCAGGCCGGCCGCCGGCTGCTCCCGCCTGCCGGGGGAGCCGCTCCCGCTGCTCGGTCGCGAGTTCTCCAGCTCCCGGGCCAGAGTGTGGAAGTCCGTGGAGGGCTTGGTCACGCCGCCGTTGCTCGGGCCGTTGCTGTCCGGGGCGCAGTGGTAGTGGCGGCGGTGGGTGGGGGGCTGGATCTGCGGCTGGCCGCCGCTGCCCTGTTTGGCGTGGAACTTGCTGGCGCCTTCGTGCTCCTTGGGGCTGCTGCTGTTCTTGGGGCTGGAGTCCCCGGCTGGGCTGCTGTCCGCCCCGGCCAGCCTCTTGGGGCAGCGGAACCGCAGGTGCGCCACGTAGGGGAACTCGAATTGGAAACGCTGGCCACACTCCAGGCAGGTGTGCGGAGAGGAAGCTGGGGCGGGACAGAAAAGAGAAGGGAGGCTGTTGGTCACCTGTGGAGCCAGACCGACTGGCCAAGTTGTCAGACGCCCAACCTTTGAGAGGGAACGTCGAACCCCACTGACGGTTGACCAATGGGAGTCCAGCTAAAAACCTCTGCCTGATTTTTTAAAACCCATAAGTTAACTTGAGAATGGACAACATTACGATTATGTTTGTCAGCTCTGACCTAATAAGAGTCCAAGCTTCCTGCCCTAATGTGCACTGTTCTCTTAACACGGTGTTTCTCAACCTTGACAATTTTAAGGCATGTGGACTTCAACTCCCAGAATTCCACAGCCAGCATTGCTGGCTGTGGAATTCTGGGAGTTGAAGTCCACATGCCTTAAAATTGTCAAGGTTGAGAAACACTGTGACTTAACACATCTCTTTTAGAAGTAGCCCCACTGAAGGATGGCCTGTGCATAACTGCAACCAAAAATTCTGGCTTGGTTTATGCACTGTAGTCGACCATGTTCTGAGCCATGATACTAGACCCAAAAAATAGACTAGGACTCACAATTTACTAAGCACAGTGGTCAGACTCGCCAAACCTCATGCTGTGCTTTGCTTCATGTAGGGTTTAGCATTTATTGTACTTATATCCCACATTTCTTCCCGGAGGTCAAGGCAGTGAACAGAATAAATAGTGCAGGCTGCTAGGTTCGCTGTTCATAAAGAAAGTAAGGTTATTTCTGCCTCTGAAAATGTAAAGTTTAATTTCTCCTGAGGGCTCAAAATCTCCTTTTCATTTGACTATTTATACCCCACCTTTATTATTTTTATAAATAACTCAAGGCAGTGAATATATCCAAACACTTCTTCTTCTTCTCCCCATAGAAGTGAGGTGGGTGGACTTGAACTCATAGGGCTTTTGCCTTCTGGTGGTGCCTTAATCACTGGACCAAATAGGCAGCACCTGTGATGTTGGTTAACTTGGATATGGTGGCTTACTGGCAAATTCCTGGCTGAAAAGGACCGTGGTTCTTTTTTCTAAGCCCTAACTTCTCACTACCTCTCCCTGGACCGCTAAGAGCTATTCAGATCAGCACCTGTTGAGTTCAGGATGCCCATTGAAGGGACTTTACTCCAAAACACCTGAAAAGCACCAAGTAATGTGTTTCTCCTGGCTGATTATGAGCTATTGAATTCTTCACATTCTAGGTGAGCACCACTACCACCAACCTGTCACTTTCATCATCCTAGATGCATCCATAAATCTAATAAACAGAATGTCGGGAGGTGAACAGATGTTCACAAAAGCAGTTGGGGTGTTCTGGAAGGTCTAGAGCAGCGTTTATCAACCTCAGCAGCTTTCAGATAGGTGGACACCCAGAACTGGTGATTCTGGGAAATGAGGTCCACCCATCTTAAAGCTGCTGAGATTAAAAAATTTTGGCTGGGGAATTCTGGGAGTTGAAGTCCACCCATCTTAAAGCAGCTGAGGTTAAGAAATGCTGTGCTAAATAATGTCATTTGCAGATACTAGAGAGAGGATGCAGGGGTCTTCAAACTTGGCCCTTTTATGATTTGTGGACTTCAACTCCCAGAATTCCTCAGCCAGCATAGCCTTCATAGCAACCAGCCTCCATATTAACCAGTTAGAACAGGGATAGGCAACCTTGGCTCTTTTATGACTTGTGAACATCAACTCCCAGAATTCCTCAGCCAGCATGCCTGGCTGAGGAATTCTGGGAGTTGAAGTCCACAAGTCATAAAAGGGCCATGTTTGAAGACCCCTGGCCTAATGAGATGAAGGTGAAGCAGTCAACCGCTCCCCTGCTCCATAAAGCAGGAGCAGAATAAAATGGAGACCTTCCATCTGAACACAGACCCAAGCTACTGTAATTTCAACCGTGGGGATCATGCTCTCCTTTTTTCAATAGAACCCCATATCCACATGCATTACATTTATCGATATTCAGTCAGGCTACTTGAAAATCCAGTGCTAAACCTATCTAGTATCAATCTTGGCTTGTGGTGAGTGTTTGCAAATGCATGTTTTGTCCACGGTGTATGCCAACATGCTGCATGAACCCATCTTTGGTTAATTTCTTGATTCAACAGACCAGTTTAACCAGAAAGTAGGCTAATTGGGAATTATTTGTCAATGCAGCCCCTGCAGCAAATGACATCAAATGGGGCGTTTGGGGGGGGGGGGAAGGTGGAGTTGTTTAAAACTCTTGTGAAGCATCTTGCCGGATGACACGGAGCAGCAGCGTCAGGATCCTAGCAACAAGTGAACTGTCAGATTGCCAATTGGAAGGTATCCCTCTTCCGCCCAAGGATGGCGAACCGGCTTTGCTCCCTAGCTTCTCCTGAGGGTGGCGGAGGGGGGGGGGAAGCGCTCTCTGAACTGAGAACGCCTAAAAAAAACCAAAGTCCTCAGCCCAAGGGACAAACTGCCCCGCTTGTGGGGCGAGATCCAACAGTAGAAAAGGAGATTGGCTTCTGCAGTGGATCACACCATTAGTTGATCGTGAGCGATCTCTTGGAATTAGGGAGCGCGCGTGGGGGCGGGGCAGGCTCCCCCCCCCCCACACACACAACTCCTCCGCTCTGCAACGAGTACTTAAACATCTTAACAGATTGCAGCGTTTCAGCTAATCCGGCGTTTCCGAACCGTTTCAAATGGGATGCTGTGGATTACAGTAATTAAGCATCAATTTGTGCCTGGGATGTTTGGTTAGCCCGCTCGCTTGCCAGCCAGGCTGGCAGGGCGGCCGTTTTTCAGAAGGAAAAGCTCCCGTCGAGTCAGTCTTAAATGCGCCGGGACTCCGGATTCAAGGACCTCCAAGAAATGCAGACAGGCAGACAGACACACACACACACACACACACACACACACACACACACACACACACACACACACACACACACACACACACACACACACACACACACACACACACACACACACACACACACACACACACACACACACACACACACACACACACACACATATATCCCTCCTGCGAGTTGTCACCTACCCTTCATCTTGCTCTGGGACCTGGCGGGGCTGAGCAGCAACAGCTCGGTCAGGTCCTTCCCGTACCACACCAACAACTCCTCGTCTTTGGCAATCCTCCGCAGGGATCGGTAGAACAACTGTCCGTTCTTGATGTAGGCTTCCAGGTTCTGCTCCTCCTTGTCCCGCGCCGACTGGACCAGGCGAAGCCACATCAGGCCTTCGGAGGAGCCGTTGGCCGCCGAGGTGTCCACCTAAAGCGGGAGAAGGGAGAGGCGGCGGAGGCTGAGTGAGTGGCTGGCTGCCCAACTACTCAACAACAACACGCGGCCTGGGACCTCCAGGAGGAGACGGCTGCGTGCGGGGTGGCAAAGAAACGAAAGCCAGGGCTGCGTTTCTCTTTCGTTGGGACCGTTAACGCCCACCGTGTTTTGAGCTGCCGGGCAAGTTCCCCCCCCCCTGAACCCCGAAATGACCGGCTATGGCTTGGCCTGATCTGGGGCCCCGTGGATTCGCTCTGCTAGGGAAGCGTTTGCAACCACACCTGTCCTTCGGTGGGACGGGACCTTCCAGCGGAGGAGGCCTACAGGGAGAGCTGAGATCCCGGACAGGAGAGGAACTAAGCCCAGCCAAGGAGGTCAACGCGGAAGGTCTGAAACAGACCCCCCCCCAAATTGGCCGGAAAAGCCAGGCGTCGTAATATATACAGCACCATCCCAGCAAGTCCGCCTGCAGCCGGGAGCAATTTTAAGCCTTTCCTTCCAGACCCCTGACTGACTGCCATCTCCAGCGCTTCCCAACGACTCTGAGATATTTGGTGGTGGTTGTTAGTTGTTCCTCCAGGCCTTCCTGTCCTCTACCATCTTCTGGAGTCCATTTAAGCTCACGCCTACTGCTTCAGTGACTCCATCCAGCCACCTCATTCTCTGTCGTCCCCTTCTTCTATTGCCCTCAATCTTTCCCAGCATCAGGCTCTTCTCCAGTGAGTCCTTCCTTCTCATTAGGGGGCCAAAGTACTTGAGTTTCAACTTCAGGATCTGGCCTTCTAAAGAGCAGTCAGGGTTGATCTCCTCTAGGACTGACCGGTTGGATCGCCTTGCAGTCCTTGCTTCAGTGACTCCATCCAGCCACCTCATTCTATTGCACACCTTCCGATCTGAGGGGCTCATCTTCCAGCCTCATCTCTTTTTGCCTTTTGGTACCGTCCATGGGGTTTTCATGGCAAAGATGCTGGGGTGGGTTGCCATTTGGGGCAGCCTTATTAGGAAGGAGATTTCTCTACGCCCGGTTCTCGATTTTCTTTTCGTGGGCGCGAAAAAAGAACCCCGCGTTTTATTCAGCTCGGTTCACGGGACCCCATCCTTCGAAGGTGTGGCTCGTCTCGCCTTCAGCCAAACCTTACGGGGAGCTGCAGAATCGATTCTGCGGAGCTGGGGGGTTGGGGGAGCCCACTGGGGACCTTAAGGTCAGCAAGGAGCGGGGACGTGAGTTCATTTGGACGCTCAGACTGCCTCTAAAACTGCTGGCAGTTGGAGGGCGACCTAAGAACCTAAGACTTGCATTTTTTTTCGCCCCGACTGGCCGGTTGACGGTTCAGCGGGCGAGCAAGCAAGCAAGCAGCAGCAGCTGACAAGAGACCCAGCGCCGCCGGATTTCCGAAGACCTCCGGATGCGTGGCTTTGAACCCTCCGGGGGCCGGTGGCACCCGGAGACGAAGGCAGCGAGACCCGACCTGCTTCCCTCCCTTCTAAACCCCGCAAAGGGACAAAGGCCGTTTTGGGGAAGGGGCCGAGCTGGAACGGTCAGTAAAGCATCTCCTGCTCCTTCGCGTTTTGTTCCGCGGACTCTTTGCGCCCGAAGGAGCTAAAAACGACGCCTCCCCATCCTTCCCCCCCCCTCTCCGTTTTTAGGGAGGCCGGCAATTCCGACAACGCGTCTGCCTGGAAGGCAGCAGTAGGGCGCGGAGCGAATCCGTTTGCCGCGTCCCCATCACACCTGGAACTAAGCGGACTGGGTTCTCGAGCAGACGCGCGTCAACAGAAGCACCAGTACTCCGTTGGTTGTCTGAATGCCTTCCCTTACCTTCTTCACTGACCTGGTCGCTCCTGCCCGCTCGCTGAACCGATTCAGCGGAGAAAAGCAGGCCGGCCCTGGCAGGTCGAGCACCCCGTGCTGCTTCCCTCCAACGCGGCCAGGGCTTGCGTTCCGCCACAGGGCCTCTTTTCTGGGGCCGGAAAGGGACGGTTGGAGGGATGGGCGTAGCTCAAGCTTTCCCGGGCTGACGGGCGAGGGTCTGGCTTCTCTCCGTCTCTTCTCCCCACCCCCTTCCCTCCTTCCTCGCCTTGCCTGCCTCCCCCTTACCCGGAATATATAGGGGACGGTCCTCTTGTCGGTGGACTTGAGCGCCACAAAAGCGATGCTGTCGTAGAGCGAGGTATGGCTGAGCACGCAGGGGCCAAAGATGGCGTTCTCCGGGATGTCGCAGGTGGTGTAGACGCTGGTGAAAATGTCCGTCAGGCATTGCTGGACGGCTTTGGCGTCTCCATCCCAGATGCTCCGGGGCACCCCGCTTTCGTCCATGGCTGGAAACGGGAAAGAAGGAAGGGGGTCACAGAATCACTGGGAAACGAAGCCCGGCTCCTCCCGGGGACCCCCCCCCCCAAGGAATAGAGACCCTTTTGGCTTTTGCGGACCCGTGTGTAACACCCTTTCCCAAAAAGAACCGGCCCCTCACCCCAAGTGCCCCGAATTCAATAGCAGCTATTCTGATTTTCTGTCCTGTTTTAAAAGCAAGGAGTGAGCTACGGAGTCTAAACATAAATGGCCAGACACGATTTTAATTCATCCACACGTATAACCCACAGGTTTTATGCTATAGTGTTCCATAGGCAGAAGTTTCACTTCTGGAAATCCAGGGAATATGGCTGAAGGGGTGCATCTCTAGCGACTCCTTTAAAAGACACTCCCAAATTCCTTTTCCGAACAAAATAAAGGACTCTGGTTCATTGCAGAGATTTGCCTAGTAAGTTGCTGAGCCAACTGACAATTTTGTAAATTTCTCTACCCCTCGACACATCCAAGCTTTGTATTCGACGTGCTATCAGAACAGCTCCCCCCCCGCCCCCAAAGTTAAACCCTCCTGGAAACGGGAGACCCCCACTCGGTGGGAGAGATCAATGGAAGAAGCCCGCGACCTGCTTTTCCTAACCGCCTGCCCCAAAACGCCCGGACGCCGAGAGGCTTGCTTTCCTCTCCCCCCACCAAGGTACGCAAGGCCCGGGAGCCTTTCGCTCCTTCAAACCGCCCGTAGGAGGAGAATTTTGGCCGGCCTTTGGCTCAGCCCACCGAAGGCCAAACCGGGTCCCTTTCCATCCTCCGGCTAAACGGCCTCGGTTCTAACTGGGAAGAGCAAAGGCCAGCTTGGACACGTCTTTTGTTGAGCCACCCGAACGGGCATTCAGAAGAAGAAGGAGGAGGAAGAAGAAGAAGAAGAAGAAGAAGAAGAAGAAGAAGAAGAAGAAGAAGAAGAAGAAGAAGAAGAAGAAGAAGAAGAAGAAGAAGAAGAAGAAGAAGAAGAAGAAGGAAGAAGGAAGAAAGAAGAAGAAGAAAGAAGAAAGAAGAAAGAAGAAGAAGAAGAAGAAGAAGAAGAAGAAGAAGAAGAAGAAGAAGAAGAAGAAGAAGAAGAAGAAGAAGAAGAAGAAGAAGAAGAAGAAGAACCGGGAACCCAAGAAATGTAACATCCCAGAAAGAAGGAAGAGGAAGAGGAAAAGCGAGACTGTCTGAACAATTTAGGAGACTAGAAAGGGACGAGAGGTCCAAGGAAACGTCTCCGTGGGTTTCCCCTCCGCCCCGTCCTGTCCTGGGGCAGAATTCCCTGCGGTGGAGCCCAACGGTCGCTTCTCTATTCCTACCTGCCCTGTTGCCCGCTCGGAACTTCAGAGGGAAATCTCCTTCTCCCCTGCAGCTCCGGCGCTTCGTTCCGAGCTCTGCGCTTGGAGAAATCTCGAGGGGGTCCCCCTCTGCCTCCGCCCGGGCCTGGCCCTCCTCCCTCCCTCTCTCCCTCCCCTCCCTCCCTTCCCCGCCCCCTGGGGGGACCCGGTGACGGACGGGTCGGATTTCCAGCGCCTTGACAGTGTCGCTGATTTGATGTCAGCTAACCTTTCACGGAAGCCGACAAGAGGGAACGTATGTCGGCTCATTACCATAATCCAGCAGTTTCCCTGGGAGACTTTAATTAAAAGCAGCGAGCAGAGGTAATTATTTCTTACCGCGACACGCTTATTTATGGGAGGCGGGCGCGTCCCCCGTTTCCGTTTTTTCTACACGGGGGATACGAGGCGAGACGAACGCGCGGCTGACTAGAACCCGAGTCGGGAATTTTAGATCGGTGCTTGAAACGGCGCGGAGAAACCTAATCACGCCGAGAGCTTGGTTTCAAATCTGTTTTTTGAAACCATCGACTTAGTAATCATAGCAGCGATGATAATAATAATAATAATAATAATAATATAAATGATAATAATAATATAAATGATGATGACAATAACAAATAATAATAATATAAATGATGATGACAATAACAATAACAACAACTGATAATAATATAAATGATAATGATGATGACAATAACAACAAATAATACTAATAATAATATATCTGTAATACCATCAAACATCCACATCTGCCTATCCCAGGTCCTGGGTAAGGACTCGATAGGTAGACAAAATGCCAAATCCAGTCTGAACATCTGGCTGACTGTGTGATGATCCATAATAATAATAATAATAATAATAATAATAATAATAATAATAATAATAATAATAGGACACCTGGCCACAAGACGCCTGGCATCACTTTTGTGGAAAAGAGGAAAAAAGTCTGGTGCATGGATATTGCAATACCAGGTGATGCACGAATTGAAGAGAAACCGCTAGAAAAAAAACCAAAAACTAAATATCCGTGATTTGCAAATTGGAGTTGAGAGACTAGGGAGGCAGGAAATCAACGATTGTACCAATAATAATAGGAGCCCTTGGAGCCATACCCGAAGGGCCGCCTAGGTAATATGGAAATCCTGAACTTATTAGACCTGAATAGCCTGACTTTGCAAAAAAAAAAAAAAAAAAAAAAAAATCACCCCAGCCTCCTGGGAACCTCTTACATACTCAGACTCTACTTGAACAAGCTCTTACTTAGGTCCCTGGTTAGGACTTCGACTGTTAAATGCTTACCAGTCCCAGGCTGTGAATCGAATTGAAGATTAACCATAGTAATATAACAGCAGCCAAACGGAACAGAAAATAAGCAATTCTCTCCGACTCTTCCTTGTAATAATTTTTTCCCCTCTTTTGGCATTAATTTCACCTCCCCCCCCCCCCCAGGTTCCTGTCCTCCCTCCCTGGTGATCGCTTGGCGCAGGAAAATTGAATTAGCAGCCATTGCAGGAGGCCTTTTTTTTCTTTCTTCCAAAACCTCAGCTGGTGAAGCTCCTGCGCAAGGCCCACCCAAGTGGGAAGTGGAAGAGCCGAGGGGCGCCCCAAAAGCGGCTTTCTCCTGGCATTGTGATCCCGGGCAAAGAAAGGGGTGTGTGTGTGGGGGGGTAACCGGCTCTGGTCTCCTTCAAAGAGGCCAGCGTTGAAAAGCAAAAAAACTTTTCTAAACTCGGATTCGCCGTCAAATCTTGAACCTTTTCTCTCCTTGGCTAAAGCAACGCGCCAGGATCGGGTCATCTGAGCCTTTATAAACTAGCCTGACTCGGAAAGGGCAAAAAACGAAAAAACCCAAAACCAAAAAACCCCTCGGTAATAATCGAAAGAGGAAAAACGGCGATTTGCCGAGACTAAAATGGTTTTGCCGCAATTAAAGTCTCTTTTCTCGAGTCAGGCCTGTTAAGGTGGGGGGGGGGGTGGGAGATTGGGGGGGAAGGGAAAACTCTACGGAAAAAAATTGGAACGAAAAGAAATAAAATTAACTAACTCGCCGCCGCACCAGACGCAAGGCTCCCCTTACGGTTATTATAAAAGGGACTCCCCCCCCCCAAAAAAAATATGGAAAGCCGGTGCGAGCGTTTGGGAAACTTGAGCCGGCGGTAACGTCAGCCCCGTTGGGGAAGAGAATAAATAGCATTTACCCTAGTTTAAGTGAAAAGAAACTAAAGCAGCGTCGGAAATAAATCGGCCAGCGGGATAGATGCCCCCGTCTTTCCGCCGGCTCGGCGGTGGAGATGCGGCTTGGGGAAAGGAATCCCCGAGGCCCGCTCACACGCACATCTAAACGCCCGGCTCCTCCTGGCTTCCCTTTTAGAATCAGGACGCTGGAGGTCGCCGCGTTCCGGCGGGCAGCAGCCGAGGGGGAAAACCAGGGTGCCGGATAATCCTAGCGAACAATGCCGTGGAGTCCCCCTCCAAGCCAAGAAGGCGGTGGGTGCAACTCAGAGAGATTAAAAAGGAAAGGAAAGAGGAAAAGGAAGAGGGAGAGGAGAGAAGAGAAGAGAAGGGAAGGGAAGGGAAAGGAAGGGAAGAGGAGAAGAGAAGAGAAGAGAAGAGAAGAGAAGAGAAGAGAAGAGAGAAAAGAGAAAAGAGAGAAGGAGACAGAAACACACAGAGAAAGAAAGACTCCAGATCTGCCAATTTCTGTTTCTGCAACCTCCCAGGACCTCAAGCTTCTCTCTCTCTCTCTCTCTCTCTCTCTCTCTCTCTCTCTCTCTCTCTCTCTCTCACACACACACACACACACACACACACACACACGCAAATAGCCTTCCTTCCTCCGCACCTGACCCACCATCAAGCAATCTTTTTTTCCGGGCGCTCCGACCTTTTTTTTTAATATATATAAAAAAAGCTTAAAAAGAAGACGCGGAAGACAAAAATGGGGAGGAAGAAGAGAGGGGGTGAATCAAACTCATAATCAAACCGTCTACTCAAAGTCACCCATTCCTTGCTTTATCCACATCAATACCCCCTTCCCCTCCGGCTTTGTACGGATCTATCTGGCAAGGGGTCTTTCTCTCTGCTACACCCGCTGTTTTCTTTCTTTTTTCCTCCTTTTTTCAGAGAGAAAGAGAGAGAGGGAGGGAGGGAGAGAGAGAGAGAGAGAGAGAGAGAGAGAGAGAGACAGAGACAGAGAGAGAAGGGAAAAACGATCAGAAGGGTTATTTTGTTCGGGTCGGCTGCAAACCGCCTTTACTTACCGGGAAGATATATATATGGTCGGGATTATAATCCTAAAGGCAAAGAAGGGACGGTGGGAGGAAAAAAAAAAATAAAGGAAATATTTAGAGGAGATATAAAAGAAGTCTCAATCCCCAGCAGCGGCAAGTGGCCAAGAAGAAGAAAGGGCAGAGAGAGGCGTAGAAGTCCCCGGTTTGTTTTCTTTCTTTCTTTCTTTCTTTCTTTCTTTCTTTCTTTCTTTCTTTCTTTCTTTCTTTCTTTCTTTCTTTCTTTCGGGGGTGGGTGAGAAAGGCAGAGAGGGAGGGGGGAGCCGGAAAGCTCCCGGCTCTTATTGTATCAGAGCTCCTCCATGGCCGCGGGGAAGAGGCGGTGGGAGCTCGGCTCGGCTGGGCTGGGCTGGGCGCACGAGAGCTGCCAGGCGGGGAAGCGAACGGGGAGGGGGGGGGCGGGGAGGACGCGGGCAGATGGGCCCGATGCACTGCCTGCCTGCCGGCCGGGCGCCCCGGTTTTGTCGCCGGCCCAGAATTCGTCCAGTGACGCGTGACAAGCCTCGCCTCCTCCCCTTTAACGCTTTCCTGCCCGCGGCTCCTCCGCCTGGCGGTCCCTCTCGCCGCCTGGGGGGGGGGTCGCTCAGGCGGCTGCTGGAGGCGGGGGAGGGGGTTGCGCCCCCCCACCCATTTGGCCAACCCCTCCCTCCCCGCTCAGGTCTCCAAGCTTTTGCCCCCTTCCTGCCCACTGGGCCCTTTGGCACCCTGTTTAGAAGCTCCTTGCGCAAAGGAGAGGTTTTTTTTTGGGGGGGGGGTCCCCGAACCTTGGGGGGGGGGGTTGAGTGGAGGAAATTGACAGAGCAGGGTGTCTTGCACGCATTTTATTTATTTATTTATTTATTTATTTATGAGACTTATATACCCGCTTTAAGTGCAAGCACTCTCTAAGCGGTGTACACCAGTAAGCAATGTATATATATATATATATATATATATATATATATATATATATATATTTACATTGCCCCCAACTATCTGGGTCCTCATTTTACCTACCCTGGAAGGATGGAAGGCTGAGTCAACCTGGAGCCGGTGAGATTTGAACCGCTGACCTGCTGAACACAGTCAGCTAAAGTGGCCTGCAGTACTGCACTCTAACTGCTGCGCCACCTCGGCATGACCGCGGAGAGGGAGGGTGGGTCTGCCGCGGGGTCCGGTGGCTGGAGAGGAGGAGTGGGCGCCGCGCCAGCTTTTCACCCCTAGAAGGAGAAACCAAAAATATGTCTTTTTTTTTTTTGCGCCCGCCAAAGTTCGGCGGGACCTTTTTTTTGCGAGAGGCGTTCAAAGATATAGACTTGGAATTACCGGGCGCGGGGTACCCCCCCCCCCACTCCCCTCCTCCTTTCGACAACTTCAGTGGGAGCTTGGTCAGGAAAACGTCCCGAGGGATTTTTGCTTTTCCCTTCTCCCGTCGCGTGGGGCAGGCTGCACCTAAGGCTCTGGGGAATTCCGAGGGCGGCTGCAGTGTTACGTTTTCACCGGAGGCAAAATCTAAGCCGAAAAGTAAGGGTTTCATCCTTTCCGCCCATAGAGTTAGCAGAACAGGAACGTTAAAAGACGTGTAAAATCAGGGAGCAGCTTCTGAGAAGTTGACAACAACAAAACAACGTCCCGATAAGCCTTCATCGGCCAACACTGGGCGCTAGCTAGCAAAATGAAATTCAATGGTGAAAAAAGCAAGGTTCTACATTTAGGCAAGAAAAACCAAATGTACAGGTATAGTATAGTAGTAACTCAATAGTTGTAACTGTGAGAGGGACCTCGGAGTCCTAGTGGACAGTCACTTAAATATGAGCCAGCCATGTGCTGCAGCTGCCAAAAAAGCCAACACAGTGCTAGGCTGCATTAACAGAGGGAGAGAATCAAGATCATGTGAAGTATTAATACCACTTTACAATGCCTTGGTAAGGCCACACTTGGAATACTGCATCCAGTTTTGGTCACCACGATGTAAAAAAGATGCTGAGACTCTAGAAAGAGTACAGAGAAGAGCAACAAAGATGATTAGGGGACTGGAGGCTAAAACATATAAGGAACGGTTGCTGGAATTGGGTATGTCTAGTTTAATGAAGAGAAGGACGAGCGGGGACATGATAGCAGTATTCCAATATCTCAGGGGCTGCCACAAAGAAGAGGAAGTCAAGCTATTCTCCAAGGCGCCTGAAGGCAAGACAAGAAGCAACGGGTGGAAACTAATCAAGGAGAGAAGCAACCTAGAACTCAGGAGAAACTTCCTGACAGTTAGAACAATTAACCAGTGGAACCACCTGCCTCCAGAAGCGGTGAATGCTCCAACACTGGAAGTTTTTAAGAAGAGACTGGACGGCCATTTGTCCGAAATGGTATAGAGTTTCCTGCCTGAGGAGGGGGTTGGACTAGATGACCTACAAGGTCTCTTCCAACTCTGTTATTCTGTATTTCTGCATAGGACTCCAGTCATCCCTAATGCCTATAGCCAAGCCAGAGAAGCGATTCAGGATCTCTGGGGGAAGAGAAGTGGTTTGTCGAGGGGCGCTTAGGTGTTTGCGCTCCAAAAGAAGCCACAATTCCTGTCATCCACAGACTCCACCACCCCGGTTTGGAAACCCCCCCCCCTCCCAGATGGACTCCTGGCCTCTAGTTTAGCCTGAACTGAAGGATCTGGAAGCCCTGGAGCTCTTTGAAGAGGACCACATCTGAGGCTGCCTCTCACTCTCCCCCCCCCCACCCGGAGGCGACTGCTTCATGGACTAAAAAGTCCTTCCCATTTCCTAACCAGGAGGCAGAAAATGTCCAGCCAGCAAGAAAGGTCAAGGCTGGCTGAGGAATTCTGGGAGTTGAAGTCCACAAGTCATAAAAGGGCCAAGTTTGAAGACCCCTGCCTTAAATCTAACAAACAAAATGGAGGGTGGCTGAGGAATTCTGGGAGTTGAAGTCCACAAGTCTTAAAGGTGCCAAATTGAAGACCCCTGGCCTAGTGCCTTGTATGAACCCAGTTCCTGTGGTTGGCTTATGAGGCAGGGGTTGTGCCAATTGGGAAAATGGAAATTAGTTGGTTAAATCAGGATTTTTAGTTAACCTATGTAAATACTGTTTGAATCCATGGTAGTTTCTCTCCTGAGACTTGGAGAGATTTAGTCTTCAGAAGAATTTATCAGAATAACCGAGTTGAAAGGGACCTTGGGGGTCTTCTATCCCAGAGGTTTTCAAACTTGGCCCTTTTATGACTTGTGGACTTCAACTCCCAGAATTCCTCAGCCAGTGTGCCTGGCTGAGGAATTCTGGGAGTTGAAGTCCACAAGTCACAAAAGGGCCAAGTTTGAAAACCCCTGTTCTATCCAACCCCCTGCTCAAGCAAAAGACTCTATACCAGTGTTTCTCAACCTTGACAATTTTAAGGCATGTGGACTTCAACTCCCAGAATTCCACAGCCAGCATTGCTGGCTGTGGAATTCTGGGAGTTGAAGTCCACATGCCTTAAAATTGTCAAGGTTGAGAAACACTGCTCTATACCATTTTAGGCAAATAGTTGTCCAGTCTCTTCTTAATAACCTCCAGTATTGGAGCACCCACAACTTTGGAAGGCAAGTCATTCCACTGACTAATTGTTCTCACTGCCAGGAAATTTCTCCTTGGTTCTAGATTGCTTCTCTCCTTGGTTAGTTTCCATCCGTTGCTTCTTGTCCTGCCTTCAGGTGCTTCGGAGAATAGGCTGACCTATTTGGACCAGTTCCTGGGGCCTCCCAGCTTTGGCTGGCCCATGGTGTGTTTGTGTGTGTGTTTTGCTGTCATGTTCCTACACCATCATCCACTTATTTGGCCTCGCTTGATATAGGGAGGACAGTGCCCCAAATTCCCAGCTAAAATCCAAGGGACTAAAAATGATGGGCGTTGAACTTCAACTAAGGTTGCAGCAGTACTGAATGTTTATTTGGGTCCACAATAATCTATTATCTTCTTACTCGTTTCTCTTTCTCTCTCTCTCCCTCCAGGATTGTTTGACCTCCAAGATCAATGGGAAGAACCCAGAAATGTGGAGAGGAGATCTGCTACCAGCCCCGTTTGGGAAGAAAAGTGTTGCTTCATTTGATCCTTTCAAATTCTGAAACAACATTTGCCTGGCCTTTCAAAGAGAGGGTAGGGTAGTTTACCCCATTGTTCTGTCTCCGCTCATCCCCCCCCCCCCCAAAAAAAGGCTAGAGTCCAACACACTGAAGAACAAAAAGTGGTGGAAGAGAGCCCCACGTTGGCTTTGAATCAAAGCTCTGAGCTTTGTAGAAGGAAATATAAGACTTTGGAGCCATTTATTCAGGAGGAAGTTTCAATTTGCTTCTATGGGAGAGATTCAGAATCCAGATCACTTTATCTGAATTAGTTACCGGTGATTGTAACTGCCTTTCTTTCCTTCCTTCCTTCCTTCCTTCCTTCCTTCCTTCCTTCCTTCCTTCCTTCCTTCCTTCCTTCCTTCCTTCCTTCCTTTTCTTTCTCTGACCTTCCCTTCTTTTCCCTTCCCTCCTTCCTTCCCTTTCTTTCCTATTTTCCATTCTCTCCCTTTTCTCCTCCCTCCTTCCTTCCTCCTCCTCCATCGTTCCCTCTCTTCTCTCTTCCCCATCCCTCCATCTCCTTCCTTCCTTCCTTCCTTCCTTCCTTCCTTCCTTCCTTCCTTCCTTCCTTCCTTCCTTCCTTCCTCTTTTTCTTTCTTCCTCTGACCTTCCCTTCTCTTCCCTCTTTCCTTCTCTTTCTTTCCTATTTTCCATCCTCTCCCTTTCTCTTCCCTCCTTCCCTCCTTCTCCACCCTTCTCTCTCTTCTTTCTTCCCCATTTCTCCCTCTCCCTCCTTCCTTCCCCTTCCTTCCTTCCTTCCTTCCTTCCTTCCTTCCTTCCTTCCTTCCTTCCCTTTTTTCTTCCTCTGACCTTCCCTTCTCTTCCCTCTTTCCTTCTCTTTCTTTCCTATTTTCCATCCTCTCCCTTTCTCCTCCCTCCTTCCCTCCTTCTCCACCCTTCCCTCTCTTCTCTCTTCTTTCTTCCCCATTTCTCCCTCCTTCATTTCTTTCTTTTTTTTCCTCTGACCTTTCCCTTCTCTTCCCTTCCCTCCTTCCTTTCCTATTTTCCATCCTTTCCCTTTTCTC